TGATTGTCTAAGCGATGATCTTGCTATACTCGCTCTTGTTTATCACATTCACTGATTGTCTAAGCGATGATGCTATACTCGCTCTTGTTCATCACATTCACAGATTGTCTAAGCGCTGCTTTTATACTCGCTCTTGTTCATCACATTCACTGATTGTCTGAGCCATGATGCTATACTCGCTCTTGTTCAACACATTTACTGATTGTCTAAGCAATGATGCTGCTATACTCGCTCTTGTTCATCACATTCACTGATTTTCTAAGCGCTGCTCCTATACTCGCTCTTGTTCTTCACATTCACTGATTTTCTAAGCGCTGCTGCTATACTCGCTCTTGTTCATCCAATTGAGTGATTGTCTAAGCGATGATGCTGCTAAACTCGCTCTTGTTCGCAACACTTACTGATTGTCTAAGCGATGATGCTAACTTCGTTCTTGTTCATCACATTCACTGATTGTCTAAGCGATGACGCTATTATACTCGCTCTTGTTCATCACATTTGCTGATTGTCTAAGCGCTGCTGCTAAACTCGCTCTTGTTCATCACATTCACTGACTGTCTAAGCGCTGCTATTATACTCGCTCTTGTTTATAACATACACTGATTGTCTAAGTGATGCTGCTTCTATACTCGTTCTTGATCATCACATTCACTGATTTTCTAAGCGCTGCTGCTATACTCGCTCTTGTTCATCACATTTAGTGATTGTCTAAGCGATGCTGCTGCTAAACCTGCTCTTGTTCATCACATTTACTGATTGTCTAAGCGATGATGATGCTACACTCGCTCTTGTTCATCACATTTACTGATTGTCTAAGCGCTGGTGCTGCTATACTCGCTCTTGTTCATCACATTCACTGATTGTCTGGGCGAAGATGATGCTATACTTGCTCTTGTTCATGACATTTAGTGATTGTCTAAGCGCTGCTGCTATACTCGCTCTTGTTCATCACATTTACTGACTGTCTAAGCGATGATGATGCTACACTCGCTCTTGTTCATCACATTTACTGATTGTCTACGCGATGATACTGCTATACTCGCTCTTGTTCATCAAATTTACTGGTCGTCTAAGCGATGATGCTATACTCGCTCTTGTTCGTCATATTTACTGATTGTCTAAGCGCTGATGCTGCTATACTCGTTCTTGTTCATCACATTCACTGATTGTCTGGGCGATGATGGTGCTATACTTGCTCTTGTTCATCACATTTACTGATTGTCTAAGCGCTGGTGCTGCTATACGCGCTCTTGATCATCACATTCACTGATTGTCTGGGCGATGATGATGCTATACTTGCTCTTGTTCATCACATTTACTGATTGTCTAAGCGATGATACTGCTGTTCTCGCTCTTGTTCGTCACATTTACTGGTCGTCTAAGCGATGATGCTATACTCGCTCTTGTTCGTCACATTTACTGATTGTCTAAGCGTTGATGCTGCTATACTCGCTCTTGTTCATTACATTCACTTATTGTCAAAGCGCTACTGCTATACTCGCTCTTGTTCGTCACTTTTACTGACTGTCTAAGCGCTGCTGCTAAACTCGCTCTTGTTCATCACATTCACTGATCGTCAAAGCGATGATGCTATACTCGCTCTTGTTCATCACATTCACGTATTGTCTAAGAGCTGCTATACTCGCTCTTGTTCATCACATTCACTGATTGTCTAAGAGCTGTTATACTCGCTCGTGTTCATCACATTTACTGATTGTCTAAGCGCTGCTGCTAATCTCGCTCTTATTCATCACATTCACTGATCGTCTAAGCGATGCGGCTAAACTTGCTCTTGTTCATCACATTCACTGATCGTCTAAGCGATGCTCTCTGTGTAAATAGTGCAGCATTACTCTGATACCTTGTTTTGCCGGCCAATATGTATTGCATGAAGGACAGTGGTCTCCTGGGACATAGAATGATATATCGAGTCATCAATCGATAGATATTCGTGGCGCAGAGTCCTGTGTCGCTAAGTAAATCTGTTCATGAGATACAAAGCCAAGTTCAAATCGATTTGCGTTCGACTTTTCTGCAGACGAGTGAATATGTATATCATGAAACATGACGTCATGTGTTTATTTGCACGGATGTGTTCGATATATTTCAGCATCAACTTCCTCATTCATTTCTTCAAAATTAGCATATTTCATAGATGTAAATCTTTCCAGTATACCTGGTCAACCTAATGATAAAGCGTTCCCTCTAATCACCGAAAACCAGAAGGTAATTCCAGATCGAGGTACGATATGTTGACACACGCTTGGTACACCGATCGTGATATTGCGATAATATCTTTCAGAAGAGCACAAAACATATCATTAGTAGTATTGACATAGCGGAGAGATGTGAAGAAGACGGGACAACTCTGGACGGAGGGCGCCGTACTATCACGGACATGGAAAGACTGTGAAAGAGTCACTAACATCTTTATTTCAAGACTGAGAATGAAACAATTAAAAAACAAAATACATACAGAAAACAACGACACAAATACGACCCATCTAGAGTAGCCACGGCTGCACCTTGCACAAGCAATCAACACATGAAGCAAACAACTTGGCAGGGCTGACACGGTGTTGTCACACACAGCGCCAGAAACAACAGCAACAACCTCAACAACAAGACAAGCGGTAGAAGACGTTATGCGGACTCCGTCACAGGCTGACCGCTGAATACGCGTGTGGAGGTGGAGCTACGTGGCATTTCTACCTAGAGCCTATCTGTGTAGATACCAGCCGCTGCAGGTCCTGTGAGTAGCGTGTTCTCAAATCAGGGTGATTGTTTTGTTTGTCACCATGGTAATGTGATTGTCTCCATCATATTTTGTATGTCTGGTACACGGCGCCAGCCGCCGGACACAGGAAGAAAGTCTAACGTGTAAGAATGTAGGTCCAGACGTAGGGCCTGCTGCTGATGCTAAAATGTCGAAGCAGACTGAGTGAGTATAGTCCATATTACGGACTGAATAGAACCCGAGTCTTCGGCGAACGCTTTTACCACTGGGCTACCCTGCCGCCCCCGTTTAAGAAGGGCATCCTGGTGATGATACCATGTCGACGTAGGGGTAACACAATGGATGTTATGCGATGGCAATGTTCCCCTGTCTCCTCACTCACTTACTTTCTGATTCTCGGTGCAAACGCCTCTGTCGTCCATGGTGTGATACTGGTGACCTTCTCAGATTGGATAATGATGCCGACGCCATAATTGTCGTGCCCATTACAGGGCTGACCTTTGTGTAACCTCTACTCAGCGAAACTTCAACTACAAGGTCAAGTGTACTGGTACTGGCGCGAAATGTGGGTATCAGGAGGTACTGGCGCGGAATGTGGGTATCCGGAGATACTGGCAGGGAATTTGGGTATCAGGAGGTACAGGCGCGGAATGTGGGTATCAGTAGATACTGGCGCGGAATGTGGGTATCAGGAGGCACTGGCGCGGAATGTGGGTATCCGGAGATACTGGCGCGGAATGTGGGTATCAGGAGGTACTGGCGCGGAATGTGGGTAGCCAGAGATACTGGCAGGGAATGTGGGTATCAGAAGGTGCAGGCGCGGAATGTGGGTATCAGGAGGTACAGGCGCGAAATGTGGGTATCAGTAGATACTGGCGCGGAATGTGGGTATCAGGAGGCACTGGCGCGGAATGTGGGTATCCGGAGATACTGGCGCGGAATGTGGGTATCAGGAGGCACTGGCGCGGAATGTGGGTATCAGGAGGCACTGGCGCGGAATGTGGGTATCAGGAGGCACTGGCGCGGAATGTGGGTATCAGGAGGCACTGGCGCGGAATGTGGGTATCATGAGATACTGGCGCGGAATGTGGGTATCCGAAGATACTGGCGCGGAATGTGGGTATCATGAGATACTGGCGCGGAATGTGGGTATCATGAGATACTGGCGCGGAATGTGGGTAGCCAGAGATACTGGCAGGGAATGTGGGTATCAGGAGATACTGGCAGGGAATGTGGGTATCAGAAGGTGCAGGCGCGGAATGTGGGTATCAGGAGGTACAGGCGCGAAATGTGGGTATCAGTAGATACTGGCGCGGAATGTGGGTATCAGGAGGCACTGGCGCGGAATGTGGGTATCAGGAGGCACTGGCGCGGAATGTGGGTATCATGAGATACTGGCGCGGAATGTGGGTATCCGGAGATACTGGCGCGGAATGTGGGTATCAGGAGGCACTGGCGCGGAATGTGGGTATCAGGAGGCACTGGCGCGGAATGTGGGTATCATGAGATACTGGCGCGGAATGTGGGTATCCGGAGATACTGTCGCGGAATGTGGGTATCAGGAGGTACTGTCGCGGAATGTGGGTATCAGGAGGTACTGTCGCGGAATGTGGGTATCAGGAGGTACTGTCGCGGAATGTGGGTATCAGGAGGTACTGTCGCGGAATGTGGGTATCATGAGGTACTGGCGCGGAATGTGGGTATCAGGAGGTACTGCCGCAGAATGTTTGTATGAGGAGGTACTGGCGACTGTTGTTAGGGGAGGTCATACAGCTGATGTAGGTGTCCGTCAAACATCCACGATAAGGGATGAAATTGCCATCGAATGAATCGAATGTGACAGATGGCACCGGAGTGTTCAGAATGGATGTTAGTCAATCATGGAACTATACTGACATGATCCGGTTACTTAGAAAAGGGAAACCGGTTCCGCCATGTATTGTTTTACTATTAATACATACACATACTGTTGGCTTGTCACAAGAAGAAACCTAGTTTGTCATGTGCGCACGTACAAGCCATGATGGTCAGATCAGTCATGTAGGTGTGTGTCTTATCCGTTCTGATGTGTACGTAATTTATCAATTGTGTAAACATGTATATTGCATCTTTAAAAGTAAACAAAGCGTTACAGTGTTCCACACAGTGTAGGGCACACTACTATCAGCCTATGTACAGGCTGAAAATAAATAATTAGCGTCCTTTCTACTGGAAGCAGTTGCTTAGCAACGATGCTAGATTCAGCTATTGCTCTTTAATGCAGGTAGTTGACTGACCGTGCTACGCTTGTGCTGTCATGGATCTGCTTTGTTTAGAGAAGGGAGTCGCTTGTTGCTGGCAGACGTTGCTCATCTTTACAAAGGTGTAACAAATTGTTTAACCCGTCAGGATTCATTGCTGGAGGACACAACAGGTAACACAAAACAAGTGTACTTTGTTTCACTACATGCCGCTCTATAGTTTACAGTTAATGATGACGCACGTTTTACCTTTTCAAAGTGCTTATTATTCTATACAGCGTATGTAGAGTTGTCAAACCTGAATCTGTTTGGTTATCTAATGACTAGTCAAAACTTCTCGAATCTAGCCTAAACCTGTTTCATAGCGTCACTGACATGCTATGCCATTAGAAATATATCGGGACCCTATTGTGCTGTACATGTCGGGAAGATACGGCCCGTACTGACATAACTGTTTTATACATGATGGCGATGTGTCTGTCCGTCCCTACATATCTGTTTTATACATGATGGCGATGTGTCGGCCCGTCCTGACATAACTGTTTTATACATGATGGCGATGTGTCTGTCTGTCCTGACATAACTGTTTTATACATGATGGCGATGTGTCTGTCCGTCCCTACATATCTGTTTTATACATGATGGCGATGTGTCTGCCCGTCCTGACATATCTGTTTTATACATGATGGCGATGTGTCTGTCCGTCCCTACATATCTGTTTTATACATGATGGCGATGTGTCTGTCCGTCCTGACATATCTGTTTTATACATGATGGCGATGTGTCTGCCCGTCCTGACATAACTGTTTTATACATGATGGCGATGTGTCTGTCCGTCCTGACATAACTGTTTTATACATGATGGCGATGTGTCTGTCCGTCCTGACATATCTGTTTTATACATGATGGCGATGTGTCTGCCCGTCCTGACATATCTGTTTTATACATGATGGCGATGTGTCTGTCCGTCCTGACATATCTGTTTTATACATGATGGCGATGTGTCTGCCCGTCCTGACATATCTGTTTTATACATGATGGCGATGTGTCTGCCCGTCCTGACATAACTGTTTTATACATGATGGCGATGTGTCTGCCCGTCCCTACATATCTGTTTTATACATGATGGCGATGTGTCTGCCCGTCCTGACATAACTGTTTTATACATGATGGCGATGTGTCTGTCCGTCCTGACATATCTGTTTTATACATGATGGCGATGTGTCTGTCCGTCCCTACATATCTGTTTTATACATGATGGCGATGTGTCTGTCCGTCCCTACATATCTGTTTTATACATGATGGCGATGTGTCTGTCCGTCCCTACATATCTGTTTTATACATGATGGCGATGTGTCGGTCCGTCCTGACATAACTGTTTTATACCTGATGGCGATGTGTCTGCCCGTCCCTACATAACTGTTTTATACATGATGGCGATGTGTCGGTCCGTCCTGACATATCTGTTTTATAGATGATGGCGATGTGTCTGCCCGTCCTGACATATCTGTTTTATACATGATGGCGATGTGTCTGTCCGTCCCTACATATCTGTTTTATACATGATGGCGATGTGTCTGCCCGTCCCTACATATCTGTTTTATACATGATGGCGATGTGTCTGTCCGTCCCTACATATCTGTTTTATACATGATGGCGATGTGTCTGCCCGTCCCTACATATCTGTTTTATACATGATGGCGATGTGTCTGTCCGTCCCTACATATCTGTTTTATACATGATGGCGATGTGTCGGTCCGTCCTGACATAACTGTTTTATACATGATGGCGATGTGTCGGCCCGTCCTGACATAACTGTTTTATACATGATGGCGATGTGTCTGTCCGTCCCTACATATCTGTTTTATACATGATGGCGATGTGTCTGTCCGTCCCTACATATCTGTTTTATACATGATGGCGATGTGTCTGTCCGTCCTGACATATCTGTTTTATACCTGATGGCGATGTGTCTGCCCGTCCCTACATAACTGTTTTATACATGATGGCGATGTGTCGGCCCGTCCTGACATAACTGTTTTATACATGATGGCGATGTGTCTGTCCGTCCCTACATATCTGTTTTATACATGATGGCGATGTGTCGGTCCGTCCTGACATAACTGTTTTATACATGATGGCGATGTGTCGGCCCGTCCTGACATAACTGTTTTATACATGATGGCGATGTGTCTGTCCGTCCCTACATATCTGTTTTATACATGATGGCGATGTGTCGGTCCGTCCTGACATAACTGTTTTATACATGATGGCGATGTGTCGGCCCGTCCTGACATAACTGTTTTATACATGATGGCGATGTGTCTGTCCGTCCCTACATATCTGTTTTATACATGATGGCGATGTGTCGGTCCGTCCTGACATAACTGTTTTATACATGATGGCGATGTGTCGGTCCGTATGCCGGCAAAACGTTGCGGGTCGTCGTACCAGTGGTCATTCTGTCTCCTGGCTCAACTGTAATGGATTATGATTAGAGTCAATAGTTAGCGTCCGATCCATACACACTCTTGTACATTTACTACCCCGCTAATTAACACCCGATCCCGCTGTACACAGTGATTGCGTGAATCAATTATATATGATAAATATTATCACTCACAGTACTTACTCTGGCACATTTCTGATCAATGGCAAGTGATTCACTACATGAACATGCTTAGGTCATCGTTGTGTTTAGGAACTATAACTGAAAGTGTGTTAAATGACTTAAATTACTCAAGTAATGGTAGTATTTTGGTTTTTATAAGCAAAATATGTTATCCACGATCTCGACGCAGCACACAGCACGATGTCAGTGAGTGTGAGTGAGTGGAGCAGTATGTCGCTCATAACACGGCGCGGCAGATCAATGTCGGGAACAAAGCTTACAATGATGCAAGTTTATGCGGAGTCCACTGACAAAGAAACAAAATTAAGACGAATCTAGTATTCTAGTGGACACCTCGACCAGCCGGCCCCAGACATTGAGATGAATATTGTATTCGACACCTCGAACATGGGATCCCATACATTGAGATGCGACAAGATCAAATATGAAAGATATATAATAATGGTCAATCACCAATGCACGGTTAAAATTTTAAAGGTACAGGAAGTAGAGTTCCTTGTGCCAGAAGGGAAATAATGTCTTGAAAAGATTCCAACTTTCCGACAACCAGTATATTCTACGAAAACAGTAATAACTGTTGTTTTGCAAAACAATCTGTGCAAACATTTAAACTAAATATTCAAACACGCTGTATGCACAGTTGTCTTGTCGAGTCATAACTTGAATAGATTGTTATCACTGGAGGAGGCAGCCTGTATAGATAATACATGATTACTCTATCGCTCATGCTGAAACTACATTCACCGGGGAGGAAGATGAATCAAAAGTATTCTTCTTCAATTCCAAAGGGAACCCTTATAAACAAAAGCATGTGTATTCCTTTCACTGCATGAAAAAGTGCATTTCACGCGTGCCCTCATGTATGGAATAAGATATGGAATGGATGACTTGTCTGCCCCTAGGAGACCTCACCTGTGGGTATGGCATTGGCAGTGCAACTATGTCTTTATATGCCAAGTGTTAGGGACGTGTGCTTATAAAAAAACATGCATTCTTAACGGTACTAAAACGTAATGGAATGAATTTACTTTTTGTGATCGGTATTATACAGGTTTGAAATTAATGGAAATATAAAAGGCCATGCCCAGCTGTTTCTATTAAGTTTGAAAGCGACGCAAATGACAGTATTATTTACATACATTCCTGGCATCGTATCCCAATTGCGTGGATCGATGCTCATGATGTCAGTCACTGGATTGTCTGCTCCAGACTTGATTATTTACAGACCGCCGTCATATAGCTTGAATGTTGCTGAGTGCGGCGTTAAACAACAAACAAAGAAACATACATTCCAAACGTGATGACATTGTTTTGGGGATGTTTGTCTGCCATACAACACATTCCATACATCTGAGTATTGTACACACATACTTTAGTATTATAGATCGTGTTTATGTACAATGTATCCCAGTGCCGAGTTAATCGTCCACTACGCAAGTGGTGCGCCATGACGTGGAGGGGGCGTAATAGTGGTGATTGTTGGGGTAAGACTTCTGATGAGCAGCGACTTGGATTCCTGTGTTGTGAATCTGAACCATGTACCTATTACTGACACAGATGGACAGGATCTAAACTAAGCAGAGGAATGTTTATTTGGATCGATGTTTTCTGATGACTTGCAACGAAAGTTTAGTTTTTCATGTCTTACAGAATACATTGCAGGGATCGTGTCACGTGCGTTTATACTAATTAATGACTTAATCCACAGAGAATCACTGTACAATTGTACCTGAACGACGACAAAAGTTCTACATGTTGGAGGAAGTGATCACATAAATGACACAAGAAGAGATATTACCATCGGTTCAGCCCTAGTCACTTTGTCCAAGCTTGTGACAGACCTTGGTGTGTGGATTGAATCAGACATCTCCATGGAGGCCCAAGTAGACAGAACATGTTGTGATCATATCCGTACCCTTCGAAACATCAGAAAATATATCCCAGCTGAAAGTGCTGATCTTCAAGTCAGATGTGCAGTGTTATGGAAGCTACATTGTTGTAACGGACTGATTGCTGACCTGAAGAAAACACAACTCTACAAGTTCAAAAAAGTTCAGAATACAGCCGCACGGATTACTGCTTTTAAATATTCCGGATATGTCACGGAACTCCCGGGTATGTCACGGAACTCCCGGGTATGTCACGGAGCTCCCGGATATGTCACGGAACTCCCGGATATGTCACGGAACTCCCGGATATGTCACGGAACTCCCGGGTATGTCACGGAGCTCCCGGATATGTCACGGAACTCCCGGATATGTCACGGAACTCCGGGATATGTCACGGAACTCCCGGGTATGTCACGGAACTCCCGGGAATGTCACGGAACTCCGGGATATGTCACGGAACTCCCGGGTATGTCACGGAACTCCCGGGTATGTCACGGAACTCCCGGATATGTCACGGAGCTCCCGGGTATGTCACGGAACTCCGGGATATGTCACGGAACTCCCGGGTATGTCACGGAACTCCCGGGTATGTCACGGAACTCTCGGGTATGTCACGGAACTCCCGGGTATGTCACGGAACTCCGGGATATGTCACGGAACTCCCGGGTATGTCACGGAACTCCCGGGTATGTCACGGAACTCCCGGATATGTCACGGAACTCCCGGGTATGTCACGGAGCTCCCGGGTATGTCACGGAACTCGTCACAGCATACATCCCTGCAAGATCATTCCGTTCTCAAAATCAACTCTCACTGCAAGGCCCAAAGTTCAAACTGTCTTCCTGTGGAAACAGATCATTCTCCAATGCTGCACCACTTCTTTGGAATGACTTACATCTTCACATCACACTCTGGGATTCTGTGCCAACCTTCAAGTCACAACTAAAAAACGTCTCTATAGTCCGTACAATGAACTGTCATGTCTCTCTTCCACAGCGTACTGAGCATGCGTCAGTGTGTGGACAATTGCGCTCTACAAGTGGCATTAGTTTCGTGTTATTATGATTATTATTAATTGTCATGCAAGACCTGCAGATTAATCGTTTGTTCTACTGTTCACTCCGAGGCACTGATATAACCACCACTTACTTACCACGGGTACCCAGGGGTACAGCATTGTTGCACTATCACATAGTCAAGTTCACATAGTCAAATCTAAAAGCTGGTCCAAAATGTTTAAAAGTCTGTAATTCATTCATTATTGTATTTTTCATTTTGAGAAAAATATCAGTAAGTATCATGAGATACTTACACCAACAGTTTTTTAATAAAATACTTTTCTGCAGGCATCACCTATATTGGTATAACAAATCGTAATTTTGAGTGTTATTTATCAATACTGAAAGAATGCCATTGGCGTAATCGTCTTAATTGTAATATGCCATCTGAGGTGAGTTGATGGCAATCTTTCCTACATAATAAAATAATATGCACTTTATGTCGTTTGAAAGACTTCGGTGACGAAAATCAAGATTTGTTTGTGTGTCCTATATTTGATAAAACAGTGATAGAAAACCGGAGTTCTGATCTGTCAGAGCACGTCACTTCCAATGGATGTATTTGTCCTACATAATGGCTGCATTAACGTGAACGCAGCGGCAAATACACATTAAACAAACCATATGGATGTGGTTAGTATACATTTTCATTCGCGTTTTGTTTGCAGTAAATTACAATGTCTGTCAAATGCTTCTCATGTAACAGTTCTCATGACTTAATAAACAACAATGGGATAATACTGTTTCCATATTCAGGGTAAGCATTTGTTCAGTTTATTATGTACAGCAGGGGTAGTCAAGTCTTCACCTGTTACAAGTAGTCCTTTGTCTGTTGGCACACCTGGGAGATGTACAGCTTCAGGTATTTACAAAAGAAAGAATCTATGTCTTTTCAAATGAACAAAATAAACTGACGATAAAAAACGTTGATCGCCTTCATACAATTACATAACATTTGTTGATGTGTATTCAAGTCGTCTATCACCCAGCATCATAAGCGGGCAAACAGTCTCTTTAATAAGTTCTAATTATGTCAGCAGACATCATGCAGTAATAACAAAGGCACCTCTTCCCCGACCCGCCTTGTGCATGTGGAGATCCGTTTGAAGGTGCTCAACATGTTACACTGAAGTACATTATGTCAAATTGGCACAAGTGATGCTTACTTGAATCGTTTAATTAATCCCTTTCTTTACGCTATAAATGCCAAATTAAACATCTCTTATGTTAGTTCGCTTGTGTACATTTACTAAGAACACGAAGCGATTGGTGACAATAAGACAATAATAGATATTGTTACCCTGGCGAAATAATTTTTGATATAGCAACGCATTCATATGGTTTTCGATATAAAAAGAATAACAACTTCTATCCTGACAATAACATAACAAAACGTATTCTTGATATACCAGGTTCTTTTATTACATACTCCGAATTCCCCTGACGTCGAGGCCCTGAGGCTATACACACTAGGGACTACAGCGATAACAACACTGACCGTGGCTTGTCGCACCAGGACATAGTACTTATCCCAGTAAGCGAATGGGCCTTGTCATTAGTCACTGTATGTAGTGATGAATAAGGTTATGTAATGATTGGATAGAGACAAGACAATCATTTATATAATACTTACGACTTATTGAGTACCTAAATATATCATTGTAACATGCAGTTTGTACAGAATAATTGTTCACATATAATTCTTAAATGCTTTATACAGGAAGATGTGGTGGTAGAAACATGTGTGCACAAGTTGCCCTACAGGTAACAAGGGTTTCAGTTCCGTTCTTTACAGAGACAGATGGTGCCACTCAACAATCAAGGATCTATCTATTGTGACCTGATTACCTGAAGTTGGTACAATATAGTTACTTGGTCATCCTATTTCATAGGACAAACATATCTAAACAATATGGTAACAGCTAGGTCTGCAAGCCCACAACAAAGATGTCCCAGCACATGTATCTATTTGACTTGAAGATGACATCATTACCTGACCTCCATGTGTTGATGTTTGTCTAATGTAGGACAGATGCTGTGGTGATGTTTGTCAGAAGGCATGCACTCATATGCCGACGGTGGCTGTGTTTCAGAGGCTCTGGCAGCATGAGGAAACCTGTGGGTAGATGCCGGCGGGGTGTGGCGAGAGCGTGGCGCTACCTGGCCCGGAGGTCCAGCATCAACTTGATGTTGTGTGGATGCTGTACGGTGTCACTCATCATCATGGCGGTCAACCTACACGGTAACTAGAAGTCGTATTGCGTCATAAGTCATTTTGTTTTGAATAAAGAGGTGGTCAAAGAGGTGCTTATGATATAGTGTGAGTACGGCTTTACCAAATACACACATATATATATATATATATATAAACACAAAGGGATAGGGTTTGAATGGTTATGGTGTGATCAGTCTTGTCATAAATGGGGACTTCTCATCACAAAGCAGTCTTAGCACTGACTAGGACGCTCAGACACTTTCAGCCGTCACACAATGCACTGTGGGAGCTTCCGGTCAGTACTGAAGTGCTCTGAATGCCTTATCGACTCCAGGGTTGGCCGGATAGCTCTGTAAAATCATGTACCTATTCATTGTAGTCAGTGGGCAAGTGGAACCAGAGTTACCTTGCACGCCATGACCCAATGACTGAAAAGGCAGTACACACCCATAACTCAGTTAACATGTATTTCTCTGGCTGTTTCATGTTATATGGCTTGTGTTGAGGAACGTGTGGCCAGGTACAGGGGTCTCCATACACCGCATGACGTGTAGATGAATCTGGAGCTTCAGTGTCTAATACTTGAGTAGTACCATACAAGAATGGGTTCCTCTTTACAGGGTCACAAGATACATCAGCTGATCACGGGGTCAGAGGGCGATTCCCTGACGTCATGGGGATGTTCCGACAGATGGAAATACACCATCATCCAGTAAGTAACACTACACAAGAACGTAGGTTGCAAAATTATGTTTCTGGAAGATAGATGTTTCATAAACGTTACCTCTTACTCGTAGGTGTAACGTGAACCGCCCATGCTTAAAGACCACATGATACAACTGTACTACAGATAGTGATAATCACACATGACACTAAGATCATTTTATACTATGGCCACGTGTGTTGTTTATATCTATACAGAAAGATCGTTGGATTCATTAATCAACAATACATATGGTTTAGTAGAGATTCATTTGAACCATTGGATAATCTGGTATTTTGGGTATGGGATGGGTGTGGATGTGGACTGGTCTTGGAATATCTTGAAACTTTATTCAGGTGATAGTGGAAAATGTTAAGTTGGCCTCAGGTTTTTAAAGAAAGTAATTGTTCTGCTCCTCCTTTTGAGAAAATGAATCACGTGTTATGAAGCAGTGGGTCATCATTAACGTGGGTCATCATTAACGTGGGTCATCATTAACGTGGGTCATCATTTACATGGGTGCACTGACATGACAGCAAGATTAGGAGATAAACAATATGTGTTTTCAATGTAGAGCTGAATCACCTGTATATTTAACCCCGCTAAATTGAATTTGGAACCGAAACCACAGCGTGAGATTTCAAAAGTTGAATTTAGCGCTTTTAAATCCATAGGTAACCTAGCTCTACATTGAAAACACAGTATGTCTATCTCCATTCTACCATGACTAAATAAAACGCAAACTCTTTGGTGTTAGCAAATATACTGAGTGAAGCAGAATGGTTTTGCTTCAAGTCTTTCGAGTGGGTTAATTGTCGACCAGAATTTACGGAATCACCGACAAAAGCCTCCAAACAAAATATTACGCTCTAAATGCTCAAGCAGGTTCTTTACACCGCAATTCCTCACTCGAACTTATGCTAGGCACTGAAAGCATGCAGCACGGCAACGTCGTAAGCCAACAAGAGCTGGGCGCCCAAAATGAAAAAAAGAGCAAGCCTTGCAAAGGTTTCGTTCTACATGTACACCGCGCGTCAATATTGTGACGTCATATCGTTCATTGTGACACAAAATATATGACTTCACAGTCGTACATATTTAAGAATTGACCTTCACTCTGTGTGACTTCACAGTCGCATATATTTAAGACTTGACCTTCACTCTGTGTGACTTCACAGTGGTATATATTTAAGACTTGATCTTCACTCTGTGTGACTTCACAGTGGTATATATTTAAGAATTGACATTCACTCTTTGTGACTTCACAGTCGTATATATTTAAGAATTGACCTTCACTCTGTGTGAGTTCATTGGAGTATGAACCTTCTTAGAGTGAGGGCCAAACTGTATGAACGTCGGAGCTTGAAATGGCCAAATATGTACAACAATGTTAACTTCCATATGACATCACTACCGGTGACCGACGTTTACGAAATGGCGTGTTAACTGACAACAGTACGCGGCATTTTACGAGGGTGCATTCGTTGATTCAGGGATCGTATATACATATGTGTGTATAAGTAATATTCTCACAATCTGTGTACTGTCATTTGTTTCATGTGTACTGTCATTTGTTTCGGGACATGCAGATATCTACCGTCGTCGTTGAGCGTGATTTTGCGAATCATGGCGTCAGGACGGAAACTTTCAAGATTTCTGTTGAATTTATCTGATCATCGTAATGTAAATATTTTTAATTCGATAATTCGTGCTACGATACTCTTCCCATGAATATTCTCAAACACGTGAGCTAATATATGCAACAATTAGACCAGTGGATCCCTCAAAACTGGAGAGAATGCTATACAGTGTAAAATCTGAATTTTGCTATGTTTACATTTCAAACAAGTACAGTTTTCCGAGCACAGCGTTCGTTTCCACACCTAATTAATTTCGCTTGATTTCGTGTAGATAATTTGTATTTGTGACTCAGACCATTTATCATTGGATTCTAAACTGTATGAGGAGTTCAGGGATGTATGTATGGCTGCTGAGTTTGAAAAATATGCGATGTCATAGGCGTCTAATAACCGGCATACGTGAAATGTGATTTTGAAAAACTATACCGAATATGGCGGAAAGTACACTTCGACGTTCGTGTTTGCGTATTTTACAATACATGCTCAATGATTCTTGGCTTATCGACGACGTTTCAGAATTATCATTAGTGATTAAATTTTGTTGAAAAACAGATAGAAATCTAACCGTAATCACTAATATGCTATTTTTAAAATTAGATTCTTCGGGTAAATATCGCATATTTAGATTTCTAAACAGATTTCTTAACGCCGTGAATGATTTAGTAATGTATCCGAAATGGCGAGATTTCCGATGTACCTAATTTTCAGAGCTCAGTTTCAGTAGTTTTGCTTTGCATAAAATGACAGTTGATATCACAGAAAAAGGGAATTTCCCACATAATTCAAAACCGTGTATTGTATTAGTATGCATGATGCATCTTGAATTTTATTCGACTTCGAAGAAAGGGTTGTTGAGGAGGGACATACTAGTATATGTCGCTGTGGTATCCAGGGGGTAAAGTTCTAAAACCATAACGTTCAACACAGACGTTGGTGAACATTCGACAGAAGCACGTGGAACTTATGAATGACTTACGATAAGGATAGTAGTCAACAATCAGAGGGGGGTTGTTGTGATACCTCTGATTGACCAATCAAAATATACCAATAATACTAACCTGACTTCATCACCTATTTCGTGATGTTAAGTCGCTCCGAATGATGTCATCAAGACGTCATGAAAACAGACAAACGTTTCTGGTGTAACACTGAACTATACCTGTAGCTCTTTCTTCTGGGCAACAACCGAAAATGTGCGATACAAATATTTTTGTATCATTCACGACTCACCTTTAATTTGCTTAGCCCAGTGTGTATCATTTGCTCGTTCAATTATCAATATTGTCCAAAAGAAGAAAGGACAAGACTTGTTTGCAAACCAGGCACGCAACCTCCAGGTGTTGATTACCAAACAAACAACAAACAGTCCAGATCAGGTGGCCTGCAAGGGACAGTGTGTCCACATGTCTGGCCTAGGTCAAGCTGTGCCTCCGTCCAACATGTTTATTTCTGACTGCCAACAGCTGTAGTAGAAGACGACGACGACGACGACTACGACTAAAGTATTATCTCTCCTCGAATTTTCTGTACATCACAGATAGCATACAGCCCAAAGTACACATGGTCACTGCTAAGATGAAAGATAAGGTCACTTACATACTAAACAATTAAGAGTTATATCAAATTATAAGAAGATAAATGAGTTTAAGAAGCAGTGGGCAACATAAACATAGACCTATATATGATAACTTGATTTGTTTAAAAGGTTGATACTGTTTGGAATGGAAAATATACGAGCTCTTCTTGTTTTCACAACGGGGGTTTGATGGGGACGGGCTGAAGGGGCAAGTTTGTATTCAGGGTGTAAGAAATTAGTTGAGTCAGTAATAATTTTGGCTGCCTAATTTACGGCTTGCCGCTCGTATAATGATGAAAGACATTCAGTGTGACTCCAGCTATTTCACTTGCGATGATTTGTGTTAAACTGAATGGGACTTGTACCAACAATGGGAAGTAAAAGTAAGAACACTGAATAATTGTAATGTAAAATAGTGACATCACAGCTTGATTTACAGACATGTACTATATGTACATTGTATGAAGTATATATTGGATAATAATTATCCTCGTGTCATGGAAGTTCGATCACTAACGAAAAGAGGATTGGAAATCTGTTGGTGTCAGCGACAGGTTATAAGCTCTACAGCCTAGATCACAAACCCAATGTTTATCAACTGAACTTGTGGCATTTCTTTTGACTTCTTTCAAAGATGAATTGCTAGGTCTGTAGCAATAGTAGTTCCCTCAGCCCTAGTATAGCCATACCCAAAATTTGCCATGGCGTCAATATGTGTCTTCCATGGACAATAGTGGTTCTCTACCAGTGTTTGTGCATTCAATAGAAATTTTCCCACTAATCCTGTCATGCAGTGTAGCAAATGGAACAGCAAAGGTAGTGGCAGCTTTCCTAATTGCCATTCCATCCAAAACAGCATTATATCCCTTGTCTTGGGCTGCAGACAAATATTGCCAACATTGGCCTCTTCTGGTTGGTCAAAACTTGTAAAAATAAAGCTTTTTTTAATATCATTAAAACTGCAGAGACAGAAGTTCTCAAAAAGCATTTAGTTGTCAATAAGAAATGGCCCTTACCCGTCTCCATTGTTTTAAATTTTGACGAGAACATCACGTGTCTTGTCACGTGACATTTACACCAGGAAGGTAAACAAGCAGACGATAGGAATGCCGTCGATTTACAACGTGTGAATTGACATTGTATTTGAGCTGTTAACGTTACATAAGTGATCTCGGGATAACAAGTAGTCGTTTGCTGAATATGAGCCATAACTTACGTTTTGGAGTTGCCAGAAGATCAAAGCTGCAGGTACCGTAATTTCTTGTTACATATCGCGAGAATTATCATTCAGAATGGCCGGTCGAAGTTACATATCGATCGAACGTGTGTGACTTGACGATGCAGGCAAAAAAATAAAAACCACACTAAACAATGATCATAAAGCACAGAGATGACTAAATTGACAAAATGTTTGTACATTCATTTTTCTATTTCTCAGCTCATGTTAGCAAAGGTAATATAAATCCTAAACAAATTATTACAAAATATACGGTAAGGCATAATGTATGTCTCGATAATTATACGTGTCCCCGAAATGCAAGTTGGTGTCCGAAAATGAATTTTCCAATGTGGTTGACACACCTTGCGCTTTCATTATGCAAGCAGAGTTAGCTCCCTTGTCGACTCATGACAAATTCAGTTCGCCCTGTATCGCACATATGTGGCTTATTGCTGACCCTGAAGGCAAACAAATAGCACGTCTTGTTTACATCCTGGCAGGGCGTAACGTTGGTGACGGTCCTTCCCTACAACCGTCTTTGTTCGCGTCCCAGTAGAAACGTTTTTGCGTGTACTTGGGGATATTTTACGTGCGTTTCACAGCACCAGCCTGCCGCAGTGTCTGAAGAAGCAAGTTGATGTCAGTCGACGTACCAAATGCCTGGTGCAGTATATCTCCAGAGCCACCTCTTTGTATACTTGCTGCCAGTTATCCTCTGCGTTGAATGTCATAATGATTCGTGTTTGTGATATTTTTTAAATTTGAACTTTACGTGATATACGGCTTTTCAATTGGACGAGAGGTCAGTCACTTGACCGCAAAAATGACGTTCATAAGTGTATGAACGACACAATTTGACGTTCATACGTTTTTCACGAGACTGTGTTCTTGAAATGACGTAAACACTGATGGACTACTTATAGGGAGTTCCCTAGCACGAATACATATAACAGCTTTCTTTCTGATCATTTAGGCCCGTTAATCTTGAACTAAGCGTTTTAGTATACATTGAGAAAAGTTGACTGCAGGATCGTTAATGAATATCCTCGCTACGACCCATGTCTAGGCTGCCAGTGACTGTCTACAGCAATCTTTGAGTTTACCTTAGTGTCTATTGACACATCTTTAATCACCTTTCAATGATCGACCAATGGATCAATGGTGATATTTGAATACATGTGTTGCGTGAGATGCAAGTTGTGCATCCAAACGCTCATGTCACCTCTCTTTTTGAGGAACTATTTTATTCCGCGATGTAGCTGGTTGTTGTATGGCTGTCAGTGTAAACATGAAGTCACACGTACTGGATAAAATTGTGCATAGATCTTGGCCTTCATCCTTTGAGGTAAGAAACTGTGATACAAAAATAATAAGAATTGACTTTCACTTTGTGTGAGTTCATTGGAGTATGAACTCGAAGGCGTGAGCCTGAGTGGAGCCGCCTCGGGTGCAGATCTTGGTGGTAGTAGCAAATATTCAAACGTATGAGGGCCAACATTGTATGAACGTCGCAAGCTCCGACATTCATAGAGTTTGTCCCTCACTCTATAAAGGTTTATACGCGCCCAAAGCGGACATGCGTATTCAAAATGGGGCCTTTTGAAAATTTTATAAATTTTATTGAGAAAACCGCGGTTTAACATAAACTTTTCTTGATGAATATATCTTTTTTGAGGATGTTTATATCCGTCCTATGGCTGTAGGTATTCCTGGCACACCATCGCTGAGCCATTATATGTCGGTCGTGTTGTGCAATGGTAAACTGATGGTTTCGTTCAGGAACACATCTTTGTTCATCCAAAAGGTTGACAAGGAACTTCTATTTTTCAAGGAACACTACGCAACCGTCTGACACTTCTGACAATCAGCCTACGTCATTCATAAACGTGTGTGAACAGTTCATTGTGTACCGTTCAACTCTGCACTCGGGGAAACTGCCTTATGGTGATCTGAATGAACCCCTTGACGCTATAACTGTATCGTTGTTTTCACGCCGTGCCGCTGTCGTGTCCGGATTGTCTCCACACATCTGTTCCTTGAGATTATTATTTGAGCAATCTGTGTTAGCTAATCATGTTTATTGCTTGCCAGTTGTCGCGACATGATAACTACAGTTGACATGGTGATGAATTGTGCGAGGACGGATACTCTTTCCATATCTTTACATTCCGACACATTCCACCCGGAGTACTTGAATGACATGACCTGTGTTGTATTTCTACCACCGGCACTTAGCATACTTAGCATGGCATGATCGCATCGATAACCGAAGGAAACCTCACATAATCATCAATTAAAACTGAAACAGCCCTATGCCTGTATGGCCGATCATACAATTTATTCCCCAGTCTCCGGTATACACGAACGTGCGTTCGCCGTTTGATGTCATCTATCTTGTATGAGAGCTATGTAGCAGGTGTTGAATAATTGATATATGCATTGTGTATTGTGTAAAGTTTAATCCATTGCAGCAGAGCGACCGAGGATTCCAGATCAAAGAAGTGAAGAGCGACAACCTGACTTACTACGACCTGTTTCCGGTAGGCCGACGCTTTATGGCAAGGGAGAAGCAAGTGCAGGACGGGTGTCGGGGACGGGAGACGGATCTTCTTGGTCTGTCCTCGGAGAAGTGGGCATTTGATCGGATAGAGGTGGACACAGACAGGGGGACTTTGTACTGTCCACTGCTGAAGGTCGGCTCGACTTTCTGGAGAAGAGTTTTCTATGCAATGAGACAAAACTCAACAATAAACACTCCCTATGACATCAGCATCAACAAAGCACTGATGTCTAAACGGGAGACACTGCACAAGCTACTACCTTTGAATAGATCATCAACACAGCAGTACTTGAAAGAATCTGTAAATATAATGTTTGTTCGTGAGCCATTCTCCAGGTTAATCTCAGGATACGTGGACAAGCTGTTCGCCCCAAATCCCTACTTCTGGACTGTCATCGGCAAGTTCATCATATCAAATTACAGAAAAAATCCGAGCCCCCAAAGTCTCCGTTGTGGCCATGACGTGACGTTCCCAGAGTTCGTGCAATATGTGGTGGACACAGAGGCGAGGAATGACCCCCACAGGGACGCACATTTCACCCCCACATATGACCAGTGCAAGCCCTGTCAGATTCCCTACAACATCATTGGCAAGATGGAAACATTCAAGGACGACACTGCTTTTATACTGAACGCTCTTGGTTATAATGTCAGTACAAACTCGCTGAGGCTGTGGTCGTTGAAAGCAGAAGAGGACGCTGTCATTGACTCAACGCTTAGTCCATTTGGGTGGAAGAAGAAAATACAAAAATGTATGTCCTTTCACGAGGCAGCAAAACGTATTTGGCACAAAATGCAAATTAGAGGAATTGTGCGCAAGGATTACGCGATGCCCTTTACCGTGAGGAGCCTTAAGACAACATCCTCCCGTCAATTTATCGAAGCTATGCTAAAAGGGCGGCGTTCACCAGATGTCCATGGATTTCTGAAGAGTCAAAAACAGGAGGTCTTACAGAGAGCGTATCAACTTGTTCCTCGAGATGATCTTGAGCGAATCAGAAAATTTTTCAAGCCTGACTTTGAACTATTTGGATATGACATGTACCCAAAGCATATATTTCCAGATTATCCGTCACACACCGGAAATAATTGGTTATTTAATGTGTCAGGTGTTTGATGACGTAGCGTGTGTGTGTGTGTGTGTGTGTGTGTGTGTGTGTGTGTGTGTGTGTGTGTGTGTGTGTGTTGTGTGAGCATGTAACGTGTGTGTTATTCATGAGTAATGATAGAGCTTGAGAGTGATGTCAAAGTGTAGAAAACATTTGTATGTCTGAAGAAAACGTGAAATAAATAAAAATACATAGGAAGAGGTTGACAGTTTTGCATTTTACTTGCACGTATAGTATTCACATCGGTATGTCCACTAGTGCAGTTGGTTTGCCTCAAAATATCATGTATGCTTCGCAAAGCCCCGGCTCGCGTGTGGGTTTTGTACCACACAGTTTCAGTTATATCACTATGCGCCATCTTGGTGTGGCGAGGGAATCTCGAAGTGATGCATTCCCTTCACGTTTACGACTCGCGTGAAACCCACGCGCACCAGTATTGTGCACGTCAACCTATAAACCTGTAAACGATCAAAGGTCTCTGGCACTACTAACGATCGCAAATCTACACAATAAATTTTGCACCTTTGACGACTATGCCACCCTTGCCAGAGCACCAGAGCAATACATTTCTTTATCATCTACCATATTGTATTATCTGTCCTCGTCACGATATGGCTGAAATATTGCTGATGTGACGTAAAGCATCAACTCACTCACTCACTTTTTATCTGTCTAACGAAGGAACCGACATTTACCCTCACTTCAGCTCTTTGAGAAGCTTCAGTCACCTGTCCCGCTGAGGTTTGTTACGTTCTAACATGTAGTCGTCCATTGACACAGAACGTCCTGCAGCGTTGTGGGGGCGTTTATGCAATGTTATAACATGCCTGCAATCGTGTGTAAGTAGACCTCCATGAACCGACGTTCATATCATAGCAGCATGATTCTTGAAAGATGAACCACGCTCCTTATACAACCAAGGAAGGGCTTTCTTCACGTACACAGGAAGTATGAGAAAAGCAAAGTTATATACAAGGTGGATTAACAAATACTCAAATGATTTGCATGAACGTTTGCCATCTCAGAAAAGAACCAAGTTCAATTATATCAAAACATTTGGTTGTGCAACGTTATACACATCTATCCCACATAATAACCCTGATCCATGGGGCATCTATTACTAAACGTGGTGGCCAAACATATACTTTCATTTTCATAGGTCTCAGTTCAAGTTTACTGAGAAATATGATTGATATATGCTATTTACGTGACATTTGTGGATAAAACATTTTGGCAAAAAGTAGGCGTCCCCAAGGGGCACAAATTGTGTTCCAATCTCATTGATCTAATTTCTGTATGCATATGAATCGGAATGTCTGCTTGGATTTCGTAAACAAATTGAACAAAAGTTTCAGTAAATTGATGATCTGATATGGTTAATTAATGGCCAAGCAGTCAAATCCCTTCCTCTGATACACCCATCTGAACTGCATCATCACTTTCATATAAGTTAGATCGGTGCATAAAGAATCAGTGTGACTCAAACATTTCCACAAGAATGTATGACAAGAGGGATGACAGCAACTTTCCAAAAGTCAACTTTCCCTTTAGCTCGAGCAGTATTCCAGCAGTTCCTGCCTTTGAAGTACAATGCTTATTTCATGAATATTTCAAAGAGGGTAATAGGACTCTTGCAGGAGGATTCTTGATCAAGGTTGCAACATTCATTGAAGTGAACACATAGGAAAAATATGATGGTGCGATATATTGCTCTTTCTCAATGTACGACTTGAATTGGGATGTAGATGTCCGTTATTCAGTTATGGCTTGATGAGACGCATACGTAGTACGAGTTGAAAGCGCTAGACAATTAAAACAATATTACTCCACATATTTAATTTTTACTATACTGTGCCAGAGTGTAAGATCTTTACTGAGCTTTTTGTATATACTTCATTTCGACAATTCTTAAAAAAAACCTACACTTACTAAGTATATATATTAGACTGCAACAATGCGTTCCCATTCCTGGGCGGCCACATCTGATCCCCACAATAATGCATGTTGGCCAACACTCCTGTCGAGTCAGCCGCTGAACTGACACTCCCGTATCAAAGGCATACCTTCATACAGTCCGCGCCCCGCCCTCCCCGAACCCCCCCGCTACCCGTCTGACAGGTTTGAATGTCGACAAGCGCTGTTGTCTGCTTACACGATAACAATACACGAGTCCGCGGGATGATGTCATGTCCTCAAGGGTCCAGCATGGGTATCAACGGATGTGAACATGTGCTGACTTATGTCCGTTGTTTAATCACTTGTCCACGGTTATTCCGAGAACGAGGGCGGTAATGAGGTCAGTACACATTGCCTATTCACATGTCTATGAATCGTGTTGATGTTCGGACGCTTGACTGAGTTGAAGCTTGTCAGTCATGGCGTCGGTAGATATCTGTACTGTGGCTGTACATACCAGTCACTCGCCACCCACCCATAGCTACACTCTCTGTATCTGCCACCCACCCATAGCTACACACTCTATGTCTGCCACCCACCCATATCTACACTCTCTATATCTGACACCCACCCATAGCTACACTCTCTGTATCTGCCACCCACCCATAGCTACACTCTCTGTATCTGCCACCCACCCATATCTACACTCTCTGTATCTGCCACCCACCCATAGCTACACTCTCTATATCTGACACCCACCCATATCTACACTCTCTATATCTGCCACCCACCCATATCTACACTCTCTGTATCTGCCACCCACCCATATCTACACTCTCTGTATCTGCCACCCACTCATATCTACACTCTCTATATCTGCCACCCACCCATATCTACACTCTCTGTATCTGCCACCCACCCATATCTACACTCTCTATATCTGCCACCCACCCATATCTACACTCTCTGTATCTGCCACCCACCCATAGCTACACTCTCTATATCTGACACCCACCCATATCTACACTCTCTGTATCTGCCACCCACCCATATCTACACTCTCTGTATCTGCCACCCACTCATATCTACACTCTCTATATCTGCCACCCACCCATATCTACACTCTCTGTATCTGCCACCCACCCATAGCTACACTCTCTGTATCTGACACCCACCCATATCTACACTCTCTGTATCTGCCACTGGTCAGCGAGCTGTCCTGCTTGTCGTCCTGATCTAACACGAATACTGCCTCACAGATGGGTATTTTCAATGGGTGGGTGATTCTGACTATTTTGTTCATATTTTCGTTATGACAGTGCTGGCAGTTGAAGTTAACAAACCCTAGGAGGACAACACATACCACGAGTTATCATCACAGCAAACCTCACATCATCATGTCTCAGACTTAGCCCGTGTACTATTAGATGATCACCAATCACGCCAGCCGTGTAGACAATAGTGTATTGTGAACCGTCACAATTTGCGTATTGATTTTCGTTTGGAAAGATATTGTGCAGAAATATTCCAAAAACATGCACTACTACTACTACTACTACTACTACTACTACTACTACTACTACTACTACCGCTACCGCTACCGCTACCATTACCACTACCACTACCACTGCCACTACCGGCCACTACGTCTACCACTACCACCACTACCACTACCACTACCACTACCTCTACCACCACTACCACTACCACTAGCGGCCACTGCTACCTCTTTGAAGACAGTCAGGAAGGAATATTATTTACTGTATGTACGTGAAAAGGGGATTAACAATGTGAATATTTTGATGAAGGTTATGTCAAATATTATATCAATAATAACAAACAATAATAACATGATTGCCTCAGAGGCAAAGGTAACGGAGAGAATCTACAGGTGCAATATGGAATGTCTGTTTTATCGTAATGTTAGGTAATCAACAAGCAATGTCACCTCTACCCGCGGCTACCTATCTACACGTCCGCCTGTGATGTGCGACGTCGTTACTCATGACAGGGATAGTGTACATGTTCACTAGAGAACAGTGAACAACCGTTGATGTTATTGGTTTTCATTGGGCGACCACACCTAAAGAATGAGCGTGCTTTCCTTATATGTCCTTGACAACCAGGTGGATATGATTGTAGCTTAACATATCTGTCAACGTCAAGAGGAGTCGTGTCAACGTTTGGGCAATGTGTGTGTTGTGTCTGTGGTGTGTGAGTGTCTGTGTGTGTGAGTGTGTGTGTGTGTGTGTGTTGTATTTGTGGTGTGTCAGTGTCTGTGTGTGTGTGAGTGTGTGTGTCTGCGTGTGTGGTGTGTGTGTGTGTGTGTGTGTGTGTGTGTGTGTGTGTGTTTGTGTGTGTCTGTGGTGTGTCAGTGTCTGTGTGTGTGAGTGTGTGTGTGTTGTATCTGTGGTGTGTCAGTGTCTGTGTGTGTGTATGTGTCTGCGTGTGTGGTGTGTGTGAGTGTGTGTGTGAGTGTGTGTCTGTGTTGTGTCTGTGGTGTTTCAGTGTCTGTGTGTGTGAGTGTGTGTGTGTTGTATCTGTGGTGTGTCAGTGTCTGTGTGTGTCTGTGTGTGTGCGTCTGCGTGTGTGGTGTGTGCGAGGTTCACGGCGGCTGTTCTATTACTTCATTGTGGAAGATGGCTGTCTGTCTGGATGGTGGATGGGTGATGGTTGTGTGTGTGTGTGTGTGTGTGTGTGTGTGTGTGTGTGTGTGTGTGTTGTGTCTGTGGTGTGTCTGTGTCTGTGTTGTTAGTGTGTGTGTTGTATCTGTGGTGTGTCAGTGTCTGTGTGTGTGTTGTGTTTGCGTGTGTGGTGTGTGAGAGTGTGTGTGTGTGTGTGTGTTGTGTCTGTGGTGTGTCAGTGTCTGTGTGTGTGAGTTGTATCTGTGGTGTGTCAGTGTCTGTGTGTGTGTGTGAGTGTGAGTGTGTGTGTTGTGTCTGTGGTGTGTCAGTGTCTGTGTGTGTTGTGTCAGTGTCTGTGTGTGTGTGTGTTGTGTCTGTGGTGTGTCAGTGTCTGTGAGTGTGTGTGTGTTGTATCTGTGGTGTGTCAGTGTCTGTGTGTGTGTGTGTGTGTGTCTGCGTGTGTGGTGTGTGCGAGGTGGACGGCGGCTGTTCTATTACTTCATTGTGGAAGATGGCTGGCTGTCTGGGTGGTGGATGGGTGATCGTTGTGTGTGTGTGTGTGTGTGTGTGTGTGTGTGTGTGTGTGTGTGTGTGTGTGTGTGTGTGTGTGTGTGTGTGTGTGTGTGTGTGTGTGTGTGTGTGTCTGCGTGTGTGGTGTGTGCGAGGTGGACGGCGGCTGTTCTATTACTTCATTGTGGAAGATGGCTGGCTGTCTGGATGGTGGATGGGTGATGGTTGCAAATATTGTGTTACAGGCAGTACAAGTGTTTCGACAATACAACGTGCATTCGATTATCTACAATCGCGACACGAGTAGTTAGTGTCAAGAAGTGAGTTAGGTTTAATGCACCTTGGAGCAGTTGTTCAGTTACATCATGTCCGCTTGATGTGGGAGGGAAGCCCGAAGTATGTTACACACACACACGTGTGGGTGGTGTATGCAGCACACAAACATAGATACATAATCAGGGCACACCGGTGTTCGCACGTGTCGGGGACGCTTTCTTCGGCGCGTATTTCACGGACACATTTGTAAGCAGATTTGCCATGAAGAATCCGACGTGGTATGAGAAACGGAGGTACTCCCTATGACAATACACTCTACATGTCATCAGTATTAGACCACCGTAGTACGAATAAATACATATTCATGTTACATATTGAATAGAATTGCATATATATGCTCTAAGAGAATGTAATGACATGTATGACTACGTCATGATCAATCCTTCTCACCCACGCACCCCCAACCCCTTCTCCCTGCCGCTCCCCACTTGAAACTTGCTGACAAAATACCACCCACACTGAGTGTAGGCTACATATGATGATACCTGTATCACTGGTTTAACACGACAAACTCGGCATCCCCCTATTTGTATACCTCGCACACTGAGTGTAGGCTACATATGATGATACCTGCATCACTGGTTTAACACGACGAACTCAGCATCCCCCTATTTGTATACCTAGCACACTGAGTGTAGGCTACATATGATGATACCTGCATCACTGGTTTAACATGACGAACTCGGCATCCCCCTATTTGTATACCTCGCACACTGAGTGTAGGCTACATATGATGATACCTGAATCACTGGTTTAACATGACGAACTCGGCATCCCCCTATTTGTATACCTCGCACACTGAGTGTAGGCTACATATGATGATACCTGCATCACTGGTTTAACATGACGAACTCGGCATCCCCCTATTTGTATACCTCGCACACTGAGTGTAGGCTACATATGATATGATACTTGCATCACTGGTTTAACACGACGAACTCGGCATCCCCCTCTTTGTATACCTCACACACTGAGTGTAGGCTACATATGATGATACCTGCATCACTGGTTTAACACGACGAACTCAGCATCCCCCTATTTGTATACCTCGCACACTGAGTGTAGGCTACATATGATGATATCTGCATCACTGGTTTAACACGACGAACTCGGCATCCCCCTATTTGTATACCTCGCACACTGAGTGTAGGCTACATATGATATGATACTTGCATCACTGGTTTAACACGACGAACTCGGCATCCCCCTATTTGTATACCTCGGACACTGAGTGTAGGCTACATACGATGATATCTGCATCACTGGTTTAACACGACGAACTCGGCATCCCCCTATTTGTATACCTCGCACACTGAGTGTAGGCTACATATGATATGATACTTGCATCACTGGTTTAACACAACGAACTCGGCATCCCCCTATTTGTATACCTCGCACACTGAGTGTAGGCTACATATGATGATATCTGCATCACTGGTTTAACACGACGAACTCGGCATCCCCCTATTTGTATACCTCCCACACTGAGTGTAGGCTACATATGATATGATATCTGCATCACTGGTTTAACACGACAAACTCGGCATCCCCCTATTTGTATACCTCGCACACTGAGTGTAGGCTACATATGATGATACCTGCATCACTGGTTTAACACGACGAACTCGGCATCCCCCTATTTGTATACCTCGCACACTGAGTGTAGGCTACATATGATATGATACTTGCATCACTGGTTTAACACGACGAACTCGGCATCCCCCTATTTGTATACCTCGCACACTGAGTGTAGGCTACATATGATGATATCTGCATCACTGGTTTAACACGACGAACTCAGCATCCCCCTATTTGTATACCTCGCACACTGAGTGTAGGCTACATATGATATGATACTTGCATCACTGGTTTAACACGACGAACTCGGCATCCCCCTATTTGTATACCTCGCACACTGAGTGTAGGCTAC